GGAGCGAGGGCCATATAATTATGCCACTAATAAGACAACCCAATCTCGCACAAAACACCCCCGTGACTTTAATTGCGCTAATTGCGGGTGTATGTACGGTGGAGAGAGAGCAGTCGCAGGTTGGGTGCGCGTGGAGCAGCTGGCAAGCCTGTTGTTGACGGCCATTGCTGTTTGCCATTTACCGCTCTATCATATGAAGTCGTGAGAGGCGAGAAGGAGGGTGGGGAGGATGCATATGCGCGCGCGCAAGAGAGTCGGCAAAATTTCAGGGTCTGGTGGGAGAGAGCGAGAGAAATTACTCGTTAAGGACTCCATACTCCACACTTTCTCTCGCTCACCTAATCTCCTTAGCGTAGGCTCACTTTTTCGGGCGCAGGGCCAGTCACTCTCCCGTCGATTTGTTCGAAAAAGGGCTTACGGATAAGACACAGAAATTTGGTCAACAACTGGTCAGTCAGTATGTAATCGACGGTCAGTCCTGGGCTAGCCGGCTGCCACGACAATACAACTTACAACCACGAAAATACGACTTTTGCTATCGCGATTTTACATACTAGTATGCATATTCTTATCAGTTGCTCTGTAAGCAGACTCTGCGAACTGACAGTGACTGGTTCTTGGGCTCAACTCCCCTCGCCAGACAACCACACTCCAAGCTGGGGTTGGACTGCCTGCGGGCTTGTCAGCTGCGAAACAGAATGTTCAGAGTAAGCGTAGCCCACATTGATCTGGTTGGCTTGACAGACTACCTTCACGCCTGCGACGTTCCCCGTTCACGGTAATCGCATTCAGAAGCATGCGTGTGGAAATCCTTATCGCCTATTCAAGACAGCAAGCAGGGACAGCGTTGAGTGAGCTCAACAACCTACCAGTTGGCTCTCTCTGTCTATCTCTAGTTTTGGGTGTTGAACAATTTAGACTGCCTAAAAACCCGCTCAGCATATGCGTGGTGGTCTCGGCCGAGTCCACAGTCCAGTCCGTCTGGGTGTTTGCTAAAGGGCCCATGATGTCTCAGAGAGCGTTCGGAGATGCTTTTGTTGTTGACTGAAAACCGCTTTATAAGCCCCAAAGCATCATATGTGGTTGAAGGCGAAATCCCCTGAGACGATCACCTATGCCCAACTATTTGGTGAAGGAAGCAATTTTTTGTAAAAACCATCTCTGGGGCTTAACTGCCACCATAGTTTGCCCTATCCTGCCTTCCGGCTAATAACCATGAGAAGCATGTTGGGTATCTGAGGTGGCATCGTTAAAACCGCAGGTCTAAACCTCGCAATCCCACAGACGCAGTGGTTTATAAGATAGGGCAGGTTTATTGCACCACATCTTGGGCGCTTCAATAGACTCGCCCTGCGAGTCTGACAGGTGGGACTGCATTCATCAGAGGCACAGTACCGGACGCAGAGTCTACAGTTCGATATCAACCTTCTCTGTGCGGGTATCATCTTTCCCCTAAGAGGTGTTCCGACACTATCTCAACGCCGTCCGTTGGAAG